TTATTTGTATTCATAATATTTAATTTAGGACTTTTTATTATATATTTTTTTTCCTTTTTTTAATTTTCACATACACCCCTCATTTTGGTAGGCAGTTTTTTAATTTTACATTACTTTATTTTTTCTTTCTCTTTCAGTTTTCTTACTATTACCTCATCTCTTCTCGTTTATAGTTTTCACACACATGCAAAATGTAGAACTAGTTTTCAACAATATTATAGGTGTGTGTGGCTTTCTCGACAATGTTGATTGTGTTTTTTACATATTATTCCGAAAAGTACTTTATGAAAGTATGTAAAAAAAAAACAATAGGAAGATCCTTCTAGGATACTAATTTCACTATTATGCATAGTATTTTAGAATAGTGAATTTTTTTTTTTCATAACACTAAATTTAATATTAAGGTTTTTGGAGGGGTGAAAGGAAAAGAAGTGTTGGAAAAAAAAATATGTGTCTAGTTCGATAAAAATTGTCGAAGAAGTCACACATACTTATAATGTTGTTACGATCTAGTCTGGATACATATGAAAAGGTGAAAGATGTGAGAAAAGAAGAGAATAATATAAAAATTGAGAGACTTAAAATTACTTACTAAAATAGGTGAGAAATTGAAAGAAGAATAAATTGTGCATGTGAAAATTGAAAGAGAAAAAAAAATGTGTGAAAAAGAAAAAGAAAATAGTAAATTGAAAGTTGAAAATATAAAATTAGAGAAATTAAAAAAAATTATAAATATTTTATAATTTCTTTTTAAAAAAATAAAAAATATGTACTTATAAAAAAAAAAAAAAAAAGAAGCAGTGTATATATTTTGAATTAGTTTTGTGAAACTCCAACAAAAAAACATGCAACTGAGTTCAAGTGTTGGGCTTCATATAGGTGTCTAGTTTTATAAATTAAGAAAGCAAGCATTGGTAAGGGTGCAAGTGATTGAAAGGATGCCCAGATGCCACAGAATTTTACATTAAATAAACTATCTGTGGAACTAATAAATGCCGGCTTCCCGAGTGACTTGATGGTTTAGAAAATGTTTCATAAGCAACATGTCCTCGGTTCGAATCCAGCAGAGAGAGAGAAGAGAGGAAGATGAGAAACATGAGGTATTCTAAAATACCTCTCTTTTTTTTATTCCTTGTCAACGAAAATACCTCTTTTTATAGTTTTGATCTCACTAAAATACTTCATTTTTTTTTATTATGAGTAAATGTTTTAAAAAAATGTTTTTTTTTTCTCATCACTTTTCTAACCCACTAAACTAATAGATGTAAATATTACAAGAAAAGTATTAAAAATGAAAAATTATTAGCTGATTCTAAATTACATATTCCTAACTGTTTTTTTTGCGTAATATATAATTATGTGCCATTAATTTATTCTTATAAATTGAAGACTTATATGCATGTCAAGTAAAAATTGGTTGAGATTAATTATGAATACTTGATAACATTAGACTTTCTAATAATTTTTTGTTATAATCACTTTTTTTTTTCTTTTTATATATAATCTAGTGTCTTAAAATTATTAACTAAAAATTAATTTTCATGAACATATAAACACACTCTAATGCATTCTATTTAAGATCCTACTACTTTTCATTGGTTAAAATTTATATAAAAAAAATAATAGAAAGATTCATTAAACATGTAGTCAAATCTACAATATTTTGTGATTTTCAACGTACTTTAATCAAAAAAGTGTGTTAAAAATGCGTTTTTTTTAATAATTCTTTTTTATGTTATAATATTCTTGAACGACTTTGTAAGATGAAATATTAGAATAAATAAATAACATAAGACAGTTGTGAGGGGAGTTCAAGCTTCAAAGAAATTTGGTGGGCCCATTGAAGTATGAAAAAGGTAGTCGTTACAAGTACGATAAAAAGTTGTAATCTCTGGTTAGGCAATTAAAAATGCATTGCCTTTTATTGGGGGTAGCATGAACATCTCTTCCTTCGTGCATGTTCAAGGATGCTGCTGCTGAGACCTAACTATGGACTTTTACCCTCTATTTTACATGGAACAGCTAATTGGCCATTGGACATGTAAAAGCTCTCCAAGACCCACTTTAACTAAACATCTCCTTTTCGATGCAAAAAGCCTCCCCCCTCCTTTCTATATACCTCGTAAATTACGGACAGTGAGTGGAAACCATTGAAAATTCAAACACTGTTTTGCAGTTGCAATGATCACAAAGCACAACATTATAAGGTCCTACATATAGGTCCACGAGGTTGAGGCGCATCTTGATAAAGTAAAAAATTATGAGGCTCCATATATCGCTCGTGATATTTTTGTATTCATGATAGAAAACGAAATAAAATGAATCACAATATAATGTCACAAGGTAAATTGAAATAAAATATTTTAATATAACATGAATTTTAATTTAATCCAATCTTATAAAATTAATTTGTAAAATGTAGATTTTTTTACTTATATATTTTATTTTAATTATACCACTTGTTGATATTGTATTTCCAACACACTCATTTCATGTTAACGATCAAACATCTTAATTATTATGACATACTTTTATCATTTTTTAAAAGTTGATTTTTAGTTTAACTTAAATAACTTTATAATAAATCCAACTTATAAAATAAGAATGTTTTACTATAAGGTCAATTCATTAATAATGATCATTTATTATTTATTTATGCACCAAACTCAATATTATTAAATATATATAAGGGAATGTATTAAGAAAGAAACTCAAATCTCATATTAATTAAACATAAGGTTAAAATAAAATATATAAGTGAAGATCATTAATCTTTATCTTACATGTTCGTTTTGTAAAGCTTAGTTAGTTTAATTTATAACCCATCTTCTTAAGAAAACAAAAAAAGAAAATGCCACTCAATTATATTTAAATTAAATATTTTATAAAGGAATGAAATCTTAAATGGTAGAACAAAATAATTAAGTTATAATTTATAATTTTCATATTATCCGCATTCTAAATATATATATATATATATATATA